GACTGGTACTGAAAAGTAGGCGTCCTTCAGATCGAGTCTTGTGAACCAATCTTTGTCCTGTAACAGGTCTCTTAGGACGTGTATGCCTTCCATCTAGAAGTGCCTGTATGTAACGTATTCGTTGAGTCTTTTTAAGTTTATGACAGGGCGGAAGTCTCCTGTCTTCTTCTTCACTAAGAATATGTTGCTGAAGAAACCTTGTGGAACGGGGGCCGGTTCGATTGCGCCTTTCGCTCGTAGTTCTAGCAGCTCTTTGTGAATGAGCTTGGCGTCTTCTGTGGAGCATGTAGTAGGGTATGGAGCGAACATTTGTCGCGGGTAGGTCATGAAGTCGATAATGTAGCCCTGCACTGTCTGTCGGATCCAGCTGTCCGTGGAGATGGTTAGCCATTCCTGAAAGAAAAGGGAGATACGACCTGCAATACGAGAGGGAAGGCAATGAATTAGGTGATTGCTTACCTGTGGAGAAGCGTGCTCTGCCTCGGGTACGTGGTCCCCGGCCTCTGTCTGCTCCTCTGGTGTAGGAAAACTGTTGGCGATATCCCACTTCGGGGTAAAAGGGTTGGGGCCTCGCATTGCGGGGGCCTGAAGGCCAAAATCGGCTGGCAGCACGGCCACTTTGGCGGCCAGCCCTTCCAAAAACACCCTGGTGGTTTTATGTCTAAACACTCTTCTCATAGAAGATTGGGCTTTGTTCAGTGAAGTAAAAATATTTACATGTTTATTTAAGTCTTTGAGGAAAGGGTCTCCAAAGAGTTTGCCCTGTGCCAGCGGACCCAGTTCCTTGGTGCCCAATTCCACCAACTTTCCGTCAATATGGAGTAAAGCTGCTTTAGGCCGCTTAGATGAGAGGGCGGCATTGGTGTATCCCACAAAGCAAAAGCATCTTTGTGCCCACTCCCGGACATCGTGAGCCCATTCGCGAACCATGATCGCGTCAAATTGGTCTGCTTTCGTTAGAGCATCATCTGCCAGGTACATGATCCTGGAAAGTGGTCCCACTGAGTCCAGCAGTTTGTCCTGGACTGCTCTAAACCCTTTCTCCACGCCTTTGCGTGGGTCACGGCCCCCACGGGACTTAAAGGTGGTCATCACCTGGTCAAACTCTGGTGTCTCTGCTACATGGTCTGGTAGAGAGGGTCTTGGACACTCGGAGCGTAGCCTGTTGCAAACTGTTTTATCCATTGATTTTGTGAGCCAGAGATGCATAAATTTTGCTAGATGGTCTGGGGGTGTCCAGTCCCCTGATCGAGGGTCTCTAAGGTTTCTAGGGTCAAATAATCTCTGACCTGATGGGTCGAAGATAGCGTCCTTGTCTTCCTGCGGGTTATCTGTAGTGTCATGTACTTGGGAGTCTCCCGATAGAGTGTGTGGTAAGAGTCCGGGTTGAGACTCGGTACCCCAAGGGTCATCTTGCTCGTCTGATTCGTCAGCTTGCCACTCATCTAGAATGGCCAAGGATTTGGATGGTGCTTCTTCCTCCTCAGAGGAGTAGTTAAGCAGCGGAGTCGGGGTAGTGACCATAGAGGGCTTACGTCTCTTAGCCGGTGATTTACCCTTAGCTGGGTTTTGCTGACCCTTTTCCCCTTTCCAGTGGCGTTTGCCAGTGGGGGGTTCATGGCTCTTATGTGGTTCCGAATCTTCGGAATCTGAATTGTGTCGGGATTGGTGGGTTTTAGATGGTATCCTCTTTTCAGTATTAGAGGCCATCATTTTGGAGAGGGCTTTCTCCATGGAGGCTGCTATTGCCTCGTTAATCATGTTTTGGAAGTCCACTGTATTTTGAGAGGCTTCCATATTCTGATCAGATATATTTGAAGTGGCACAGGGCGTAAAACAATTATTATAGATATAGATATAGATATAGAGGTCAGTGTAACTGTACTTATTCACTGTGTAAGTAGCACTTTGCTGACCCCAGCAGGGAACAGTGGTGCGCAAACAGATAATACCCCAGCAGGGTCTGTGGTGTACTGTAAATGATGACCCCAGCAGGGTCTAGTATGTAGTAATCCACTTACAGGTATTAGCAGTGATGAGGCTAAATTGCAGTCAGTGATAGTGTCAATGTAATAACTCTACAGGGTAATCACCACATAAATTGGGATTTAGTATTGTGCTGGGCCTCACCCAGTGTGACAGAGGTGGCCACAGGATGACCTCCAATAAAGCAGCAGGTTAAATGGGGCAGCACCCCAAACAGGCACAGGAGATGGTGCCTTGTACAGTATGTAATAGTAATAACTGACTGACCTCAAAACGGTATGGAAATTTTTTTTCAGGCTCTGGCTAGGTGAGTCCTGTCAGAAGAAGAAAAATCCGCCGTTCAGCGTGTGTCCCTCGCGGCACTCAGAGGAAATTAAAATGGCGGCCGCAATCTCGCGAGACGCGAGATTGCAAATGGCCGCCGCGCCTGAGCTGACTAACCTCTGAGGGAGGATAGTTCGTGAGGGCAGTAAAAGTGCGTGCCGATGTGGCGGTGAGGGGTTAGGGAGGCGGGGGACGACGGGGTAACCGTTGGTAAACGGAAAACCTGTCCGCCCGCTGGCGGAAAGTGGGAGAAAGGCAGGAAAGGCCGGAAATAAGAAACAGAGGAAAAAACATAAAACAGCCCTAAAAGAGGGCTAAATATTTAGTACTCACAGAAAACAGTAATACTAGAAGTCAGAAAAAACTGCTAGTAACAATTAAATAGGAATAAATCCAGTGAAAAACACATAAGCAGTAAGGAAATATATATCTAAATGGAAGAGCCCAAAACTCTAAAGCACGGTCCGCACCACTCAAAAAACAAAGCAGGGCACTGAGAAACCTACTTCACAGACCCCACTTCTATGATGTGTGGAGAGCCCACAACGTGGGAGAGAGGGGATACACGTTTTTCTCCACAGTACATAACACCTACTCTCGCATTGATGGGTTTAGCATTTCAGGATCAGGTATGACACAGATAACCAAGTGTGATGACTTATAACGTGGTCAGACCACGCTCCTGTGAAACTGACGCTTAAAAACTTGTACAACCCTACCCACAGAAGCCCCTGGCGCCTAAACACAACGCTACTGCGAGACAGCAGCTTTGCCGCTGAACTGAAGGCAGGCATAACACATTACTTCCAAGACAATGACTCCACTGAAGTCTCAAGAACCACCTTATGGCAGGCACACAAATCGGTTATAAGGGGATTGCTCATACGGAGAGCATCCTTCCTAAAACAACAGGCCCACTCACAGCTACTAACTTATCAAAAGGACCTCCAACGTCTTACAACACAAAACCAAAACGCACCCACAAAGGAATTGAGGGCTCAGATTATACAAGTGACAGAGAGCATGCACAAGTTGTCTTTAGAGCAGGTGGGATGACATCTGACCAGGCTCAAAGCTCGGAACTACTCACAGGGCAATAAAGCAGGCAAACTATTGGCACAGAGAATTAAGACACAACAAGCAGCCCAAAAGATAGCATATATGGTATCTCCTCATGGCCTTAAAATAGTAGCACCCAAAGACATTAGTAACGTTTTTGCTAAATATTACGAATCGCTCTATAACCACCACACCCCAACCACAGGAACCCAGAATAAGCAAGTTCCTAGACTAAATGAATCTACCCAAACTCACCTCCACCCAACAAGAGGCCCTATCAGCCCCATCACGGAATCTGAAGTGATTACAGCCATAGCCACACTGCCCGCAGAAAAGGCCCCAGGCGCAGATGGCTTTGCCAACGGTTACCATAAACAATTCCAACAGATCTTAGTACATAACAAAAGCATTTAATGAGGCAGTTTTAAAATGAGCACTGCCCCAGGAGGCACTGAAAGCACACATAATCACGCTTCCTAAACCCGGTAAATCACCAACACAACCGCAAAACTTTCGCCCGATTTCGTTACTCAATACAGACACAAAACTCTTCGCTAAAATTTACGCTTCCAGACTAAGCAACATACTCCCACAAGTGATACATAACGATCAGGTGGGGTTTGTGAAGGGACGTCAGGGAGGCGATAACACAAGAAAGGTCATAGACATTATACACAATGCACACAAACAACATATGGAATGTCTAGTCATTTCACTGGATGCAGAAAAGGCCTTCGACCACCTGGGCTGGAGGTTTCTAGAAGCGGTCCTATGTAAATTCGGATTGCCGGAGATGTTCCGCTCAGCGGTCGGGGCCCTATACAAGAACCCATCTGCACCCAGGCGATCACGGCGGGTTTCACATCAGAAGCGTTTAACATAACAAACAGAACGAGACAAGGCTGCCCGCTCTCTCCCCTGCTTTATGTACAGCTCTTGAGCCACTGGCGGAACTTATCAGAGCGAATAAGGCTATACATGGAGTAACTATAAGGGACAGGGAATTCAAAATAAACTTATTTGCGGATGATGTCTTATTGACACTGACCCAGCCCATGATATCCTTGCCAAGGCATATGGACTCAATTCATACTACAAATTAAATGTCGCCAAGTCCCAAGCCATGGGCATAGGGATCCAAAAGGACCTTCTGAGGCATCTTAGAGACACCTTCTCGTTCGACTGGCGGACAGACAACATCACATTCCTAGGGGTACACTTACCCAACCTGTTCAAACTTAACTTCACTTAACTCACCAAATCATTCATAGACACTCTCCGAACATGGGAGGTAAAATACTTATCATGGCTGGGTAGATTAGCAGCATTTAAAATGACCCTACTCCCCAAACTCCTATACCTCTTCCGCACAATCCCCATACGGGTGCCGGGAAAATACTTGGCAACATTACAAACACTGATGGTGCGATTTGTATGGCGAATTGCAAAATACGTGTAGCCACAAAACTCTTACAAAAGCCGGTGACAGAAGGAGGTTTGGGGATGCCAGACTTAAAGGCGTATTACTGCGCCACGTAGCTGGCAGCTGTTGCAACCTCAAACTCAGGGAAAGAACCCCCTCAATGGGTGTACATAGAATTTCAGTGGGCCTGCATACACGGACTGCAACACATATACTGGACACCTCATGTACTAAGCCCGACAACCGCGGACATGTTGCCTCCGACGAGGATATTGATACAAGTATGGGAAAGGGCTAAAACCACCCTGGGAGGAGGGGGTCCTGATGTAAGAAACATGCCAATAGTGAGCATCCAACCACACATCCACAACTTTGATTACATGCCATGGCTGGCAGGGGGATGCACACACCTGCGACAGCTGTGTGAGGGAGGTAAAATATTATCGTTTCCAATATTGCAATCCAAGTTCTCTCTATCGGCCAAACACATCTTTCCCTATCTACAGTTAAAATCCTTTGTGTCCACCCTCCCAAGACATGACAGTCCCCAACCACAGCCCACAAGCCCCCTGGAACAACTGTGCTTAACCAAAACAATTCCCACAAAAATCATCTCCAGACTGTACACGGTATTGACAAACACACATACAGACTCTCAAACGGACTTCAGAGACAAATGGCACGCCGACCTGGGACACGCGTTAGAGGACAGGGATTGGAAACTAGCTTTCCATAGATCAGACACGATGTTGATGTTCATGTTGATGTCTCTGTTGAAATGTGTTATTTTACAACCCATTATGTACTGCCCCCACACTCTCCCCCCCCGCCCCCCCCAACTCACTGGCAGCGACGCAAAAATTGAGCTCCACGCCACAACCGATCACCGAAGACACAAGCCGATAGATAAACAGGCATGGAGGGTAAATCTAAAACTCAGAGGACGGAAAGATATATATATATATATATATATATATATATATGCACCCAAATATCAGGAAAATGCTCCTAGGTTCCTAGTGGCACTACTAGTGGTGCTAGGTCACCAACGCGAACAAAAGAGCGTAATGCTGCCACCACATGTATGTTATGTAACAAGTTAATCCTTACCTTCACGGGTGGGAATGAAGTACTGTAACCTTCGTGGAAATGCATTACTGAATGTCAATCCCCCCCCCCTCTTACCTTCTGTACCCACATTTCATGTGAAAATAAAAATTGTCAAATTGGAAAAAAAAAAAAAGATTAGGCAGAAAGAGGCTAAGCAAG